AGAAATGTCCCGGCCATCCCAGTTGCTGAGGCACAAATGCATGAGTGAGTTCAGTTGGCATCATGTAGAACAGAGAGGAGCTGCCCCAGGTGAACTCAGCCTAAATTGCCAACCCAGGGAACTGTGAGTAAATAATGATTGTTGTTTTCAGCTAGGAAGTTTGGGGGTAATTTGTTCCTCAGCAACAGATAACTGAGAACAGTAGTTTCTCAATACTGGGGAAGTTCCAGTAGGGGCTGGGCAACCACATTAAGTGTTGGGAAGAAAGGAATCCTGTACTGGCTAAGGGTCCTCTAAAACTCTTTTCATAAGAGGAAGGAACAAAAAAGAGGAAGGAAGGAAGGAAGGAAGATAGGAAGGGAGGGAGGGAGGGTGGGAGGAGAGGAGAGGAAGAAAGAAGAGTCAAATTGAATCTGAAATCAAGACATTTCCAACCCTGTTTTTTTTTTTTTTTTAAAGGCCTAATCTTTTCATCATGATGATGGTTGTCTTTTTTCCCTCTCTTAGGTTCTCTTCTCATTAGCTCTCCATGTGGGTAGTGCTTGATAAACCAGAATTCTAGCTTGTCTCAAAGTAGATCTAGTATTTTCAGACAAAGCACCCCAAGTCCCTCCCAAACCCATCAAAACTGAAATTGCCTTTCCCCCAAATCTTCCTCTAATATCACCATATGAACAAGTAGCGTAGGGATTTACCTTACAATTGGAAAGAAAAGATCCAAAATTAGCTGTGATGATTCCTTTGTCATTTTCAATAATTTCTATTAACCTCAATTTCTTCGATCAAGCGGGACATAACAAAGGAAACTTCGAATGAGTTAGATTTCAAGTTATCTGAAGAATTATAGTGATAATCCATGAAAAGTCTACTCATTTCCATCTTAGGCTAAGGCGAACCAGTAGGGGAGGCCAGACAAGGGCTCTAAGGAAGCTGAATCAGAACCTGCAGGTACTTGGGGCTTTTATGCCTGTTGGGCGGGAGGGGGGTGCTGATGAACCAGGTCTAAGTATTCTGCATCTATGTTGGGATAAATGTTATTATAGGTTATTTGCTTTACATCTACAATCCCATTTAACTCTCCCCCAACTCCCTTTTAGAGGTGAAAGATGACACTCAGGCCTTATGGGTGGCAACTGGTGGAGATGGGATTTACCACATCAGTCTCACTTCAAAACCTGGCCTATTAACATAGTGCTTCCCCTAGAAGGGCTTTGGAGGGGCTCTCCTATTTGTTCTTGCAAGTTTCCTTTTTGGCCACCTCAAACTAAAGTTGTTCATGAAGGCCCCCGAGAATTAACCCAAGTTAATCAAGAATTTACCCTGCAGAACCATGACTCTCACAGGAAGGAGCTTAAAGAGGATGGCTCCTCTTTTTGTCTCTGTTTCTCCTTACTGAGTTTCCTCAGTTCCAACTTCCTCTATCCTCCCTCCCTATCCTCCATTCTCTTGACATTAACTACCTGTTTGCTGATGGCTCCAAAATACACCCCTAGGTAGGCCTCTCCTCCAGTTGCCCCAGCCCCACTCTTGAACTTTCCTCACAAACTGGACCTCCCTGAAACCAGACTTCCTTACTCAAGAAATGGCACCAATGTTTACTCATCTATCCCCCTCACATCCAAACCCTCAACACGTCTTGTAGCTCTTGTGTCCAAAATCCATCTTAAATCACTCCACTTCTCTCCACCTCCACCATCACTTTTTGAACCTAAGTCATTATCGCCTCTTGTCTTGCCTACAGTAGTAGCTTCCTGACAGATCTGCTTCACTGTCTTCTCTCACTATAACAAATCATCTACACAGTGGCCAGAGTCATTTTTTAAAAAGTTAAAACCAGTCATGTTATTCTCTGGCTTGGACCTCTTTGTACCATTGTCCAGGAGAACTTTCTGCAATGATAGAAATATTCTATATCTGTACCAACCAATATTGAAGCCACATGAGGCTAAGGAGCACTTGGAGTGTGGCTTGTGTGGCTGAGGAATTGAAATTGAAACTTAATTTTAATTAATTAAAAGTAAGACTAAAACGCTCACATGTAGCTAGTGGCTCCTGTCCTGGTGAGCACAAAGCTGTCTCTTATCACATTTAGAAGAAAATCCAAACTCCTTTCTTCGAGCTATTAGAATGTGCTTTTCCTGGCCCCTGCCTCTGTCTTTGAGCACATCCCATCCACCCTCTCTGATCCAGATACACTGGTCTCTCTCCACATCCTTAATCACACCAAGCTCTTTCCTCACTCAGGGCTGAGCAATGCTATTCCCTCAGCCTGCAGGCTTTTCCCTTGCTTGTTACATGGCTGGCTTTTTTTCATTGTTAAGGGACTTCAACTTAAATGCTGCCTTTTCAGATTATCTTTCCAATACCACACCTTTATACTAAACTTGTTCAGTTTTTTTTTTAAAGATTTTATTTATTTATTTGTGTGTGAGAGAGAGCGCATAAGCAGGGGGAGTGGCAGGCAGAGGGAGAAGCAGGCTCCCCGCTGAGCAAGGAGTCCGATGTGGGACTCGAACCCAGGACCCTGGGATCATGACCTGAGCTGAAGGCAGACACTTAACCGACTGAGCCACCCAGGCATCCCAAAACTTGTTCAGTTTTTTTATAGCATTTGTCAAAAGCTGTAATTACATTTTTATTTTTTGTTTATTTGATTCATGTTAATATTCTACTCTGATGCACAGTCATGACACATGTAGAACTTGGCACTTAGTAGGTGTTCTGTAATAAATACTAGTAGAATCAATAAATAAGAGAACATTTCCCATAGTGCATATGTGCCCATACGGGGTTGAGTGATTGGACTAAATAAAATCTTTCTGGTATCTCGGTGATACAGAAAAGTACATAGCATATGATTCATTTCCTCAGTGGAACTTAAAAGATTCATTTCTGTTTGTTTGAAAGCATTAGACTTTGGTGTTCTTCACTTATAATATATGCTATAATTTTACTTGTACTACCCTCTTAGGAACCTAAAGATGAAATGTTTCCCACATTTATTGATTTGGCTCTTTCTTCTTGTAGAGGAGAATAAGGCACAACTTTGTGAAACTTTTTAGAACTCTAATATGTGGTATTGATAACTCATTAATTTATTAGCTCAGTAGGGTCTGGTTCAACAGAACAATAACTTCTCTGGCTATCTTGTTATCCTGGGTGTGACTTCACTTACAATTTAGTGTTGGGTTTTTTTTTTTAAGATTTTATTTATTTGAGAGAGAGAGAGAGCACAAGAGAATGGAAGAGGGAGAGGGAGAAGCAGACTCCTCGCTGGGCAGGGAGCCTGATGTGGGGCTCGATCCCAGGACCACATGAGATGTGGTCAAATCCCTGGGATCATGACCTGAGTCAAAGGCAGACACTTAACCAACAGAGCCACCCAGGCGTCCCAATTCAGTGTTGGTTTTGACTGTGGCCCTGAACTGCTGCATGCTTGCTCGTGGTGAATGTCTTTCCATGCTACACAAGTTGTTTGCAATCCTGAATATTTAACAGAGCATGTACAACAGGTTTTGTGGGAACTATGTGGAAAGTTGCCCTTGATTTTCTAGACCAAATATAAGTACTTGACAAATGGTCTGATTCAGATTAAGCTTCCAGTTCTAAAGAATGTTTATTCCCATCCAGTCTAGGTATATCTTGACCTTATATCTGAAAGAAGAGACATGAAAAATGATTTGTTGGACATCCTCTGTAATCAGCACTTCTGACCAGGTCAGGTATAGGATTTATCTCTAAGGGAAAGACCTTTCTCAAAGCCACTGAATGCTCAGCTGTCACTCTTTTCTGTTCCATGGGGACAGTGGGCCCCAGAGTAAGAAGGTCAGATATTTTGGTTTTGAGTTCCCTTGAGGCAAGTAAGTAGTTCATTTGGGAGGTAATACCAGGAAGCACCAGTTGAGGAGCGGGGAATTGAGATGTGGAGGCTGTCAAAGAGCTGTGCAAGTCAGTTACCACTGTGGGCAACCAGGGCCGATTCCTGCTGGGGAGCTCTAGGAAACTGCATAGAGGACACACTCAGAGTTCTGCCCCCTGTGCGGCAAGAGAGCTGGAATACTTATACTTCACTCCCTATTAGTTACTTGTTGAGGGCTGCTCCCTGGAAGGAGCTACACCTCCCCTCATACTTCAGCCTGCTGTGGGCATAGGCAGAACAGGCTCCAATCACCAGAGAAAGCCCATAGGCAAAGAGATACAGGTTTTATGGCTAGAAATTGGGCAGGTGAACAATGAACAGGTAAGAACAGCAGTTACATGGTTAGGGTCCATGTCCATGTCTATAAATTTATAGATATGTGAATGTATGTGTGTCTGAGAGAAATGGAGAGGAGGTTTAGGTTTCTGTGTGATGCTATGAAATCCCTATATGGCCCTGTTACGTGCTAGTGTTTGGGTCCATGTCTCAGTATCCAGTGCGTTGAGTGAAATGGTGGAGCCAAATTAAAATCTAGTGGCCATAATGAATATTTGGAGGAATCCAATAATTTTTCCAAAGCAGTGAATGTGTAATTAATGTCACCAAGTCATGGAAAGAATAGTACTACCATAAGCAGGTATTTGGGAAGTGCTAGCTACATGCTAGACACTCTGCTCAGTGCCTACCATGGATCATCTCATTTAATCTTCTCAAAGTTCTATTAGGTAGGTACACTTATCACCTTCATTTTTAAGTGAGAAAACTGAGCCACAGAGAAGTTAAGTCACTTAATCCAGGGCTACACAGCTAAAGGAAATTAGAAATATTCTCCTCTGACCTCTCTGTTTTACTGATAGAGAAACCGCACCACACTGGTGCAGTGTCATCTCCAAGGTCATACTGGGTGCTTTGGTTGGGTTAGTAGTAGAATCTAGGTACTCAAATCCCACCACGCTTCCTACTTGTCACATTTAATCAAATACTGATATCTCTTCTCTAGGTGTTCCATGTGTAGTGGGTGCTAAGGTTGCATCATGAGAGAAGTGTCTGGGCGAAATATCATGTGTGGTTTACCACCTACCTGTTTCCCTTCCATCGCTCCTCTCATCTCCTTGAATGTCGAGGTGAATTCTCCAATGAAGTCGTGTTTGCCATTGGAGTCCCAGTCCCACACTATGCACTGCAAGAGGAAAGAAGTATCTTATAAAAAAAAATCAAGAATGCATCCACAGTAGCTGACGGCATTGTGAACTTTATGAGGAACTGATGAGAGATGCCTGGTCTAGATGCCACAGTCCTAGAGTGTGGCATGTGGGATGTAGTATGCCTTTGGTTTCTATAGTTTTTTTTTTTAATTAAGTTTTAAATTTAATTTTTTAATTTTTAAAAAATTTTATTTATTTATTTGACAGAGAGAGAGCACAAGCATGACCAGTGGGGAGGGGCAGAGGGAAAGGGAGAAGCAGACTCCCCTCTAAGCAGGGAGGCCAACAGGGGTGGGGGCTCAATTCCAAGACCCAGAGTTCATTACCTGAGATGAAGGCAAACACTTAACCAACTGAGCCACCCAGGCGCCTCTTTTTGAAGGCATCTCGAAGAAAAACGAATTTCTCAACTTTTGCTTTCTCTTTCAATGTGGAAGCTATGGTAGATAATTCTTTTGCTTGGAAAACATATTAATAACTTCTTTGGTTATGAAGGAGATTGTATCAGAATAAATCAAAGTGGAGGAGGTTAAGACAAAGGGAGCTCCACTGCTCTGCTGAATAAAGTAACGTCAAGCTGAGTTTTCCCTTTGCAACTAGATACATAAACCAGGGCTGTGGGTTGAGAAGAAGTTTGGCAAGGATTCATCAGAGGGCTGAAGATGGGCCTGATACTGGAGTAGGAAGAGGTGAGAGACAAGTAAGGAACTTTGGAAACTGTGAGGTCTAAATTTCAAGGTCAAGTCATTTGGATATCTCTCCCCTCATGTGTCTTCTCTACTTCCTCCTCTCCTGTTATCCCTGAGACTCTAGTAAATCTGCCACCCATAACAACATTTTGCTTGTTGTGACTCGGAGAATAAAGGTGAGGGGCTATGTCCATGTTTTGGGACAAGCAGATAGGACAGCAGTGTGATATGGCCCGTAGGGATTAAAAACTGAGGGGGCAGGGCTGTGGAGAGAGAGCTGGACAGATGACTCCTAGGAATGGAACCCCACAGAAACACTGGGGAGGGTGTCAACTTCTGCAGTACATGGAAGTAGAACTCAAGATATCTAGATTTTGAAATGAATCTTTGTCCCCAAGAAGTTGGAGAATTACAATTAACATTCAGTTTGAAACCATTCAATTTATGCTTTTTGGTCATTACATGTTTACTCAATTGGTAGATGCTAAAAGTAAACTACTAATAGGATCCGTTACATCAGTCTGAGTCTCTAAGTGAGCGAAATGCGCAGCAGAGTCCCCAGGTGACCCAGGATGGACATTTGTATGTATAAGAAATAAATCACTGCCGTTCTCAGCCACTGAGATTGCTACCACATAACCCAGTCTGAGAACCATTTAAGTCCTTAAAGTGCTGTCATAGGAAAAGGTATTTCAATTTACTTTGTTTGACTCCAAAAGGAGGAGAACAAATTTTGTGAGGAAGTTACAAAGAAATAACAAAAAAAAGTATTTCTCAGGAATTACACCTGTCCAGAAATAAAGTCATCTGTTTGTGTAAGAGTGAGTGTTTCATTGTTGGAAATGTTTAAGAAGAAACTGCAGGACTATGCCCCAAAAATGTGGTAGAGAAAGTCAAGTAGACAATGTTATAGAGGATTTGGTGGGATGTTCTTTGAATTTTCCTCTAACTTGGAGATGCTAAGATTAGTTGGAGTTGTATAGGTTGCAAAATAACGTCAATGAAAGGCTTAGCTCTTTCTGGTTGCAATGCTAAGCACTGCAATGTTTGGTAGGAATGACGAGAACCCCCTTTTTAATTCAAAGTAGGACGAAGTTCTTCCTCATTTATTCCAATGGACGGTGGAACCAATCAATGATTCATCCACTTGGAAAAATGGCTCAGAGTGTGCATTGTAAATATGACATTGTTGAACACTGTGCATTGATCTGCAGTCACTAATAACCAGGGGTTTTTCTCTTTGTTTGCCAGTCTCTCCTTACTGCCTCTCCCTCTTTACACATGTATGACCTGGGACTGGACACAGAAAGAAAGAAGGGTGGTTCTTGGGACCCTGTCCTTAAGGCTCCTAACTTTGCCTGGTAGTAAATACAGCCCTGAGACACCTGAGGCTGACGCTCAGATACTCTTCTACCTTGAGGAGCAGATAAAGAGACAAAGGGGGCAGAAGCCCAGGAGAGAAAAGAAGTGAAAGCAGCCTTTTCAACACTTCTGCATTGGAGAAGAGGTTGAATCCCCTTCCTCCTGCCTCCCTAGTCCTAGTGGAATATAGAAAAAGCAAGAGGGGATGTACAGAGTATTTCATCTTGTCGTGAAATCTTAGGCAAAAACCACATTACTCCTTTTTTGCCCACTATTAGATGTCCCCTCATGCTGTAGTTAGTAACTTTCCCTCCTTCTCCCCGCCATGCACAACATTCAGGACATTTGTAATGTGCTATCTCTCAGGGGCAGAGAGAGAGTGACCATGGACCCTCCACGGGCTGGAGAGGAGGAGTCAGGTTTGACAGGACTCTAATCCTGCCCGCCCCGCGCCCCACACCCTCCACCGGGGGCAGGCCCTGTCGCTCACATGGGCCCTGCTTCTTCGATTGGCTAGCATTTCTCATTACGGCAGATGCAGAAGTCTGCTTTGACCTTTCTCAGAAGGGACCCTAAAGGAAGGAAGACACAGTGAAGCAGAAAAACAAAAACACTTTTTCCATCTCTCTGTGCCATGAAGCTGGCTTGTGACAGCTCTGATGTGGTTGAGAGAGGAACGCATTTTGGTGAAAAGTAAACAGATCGGCTGCCCTGTAGAAAAACTGAGACCGAGGCAGGGTTCTTGGTGTGAATCAATAAGGAAGCCTTGACCGACCTGTGAGAGATCAGCAGCTGGAAATTCTCTGTGAGCCAGAAGTCTTCTCAAGTTCCTGCATCTCGCAGCAGAGTGTAGTATGCAGTCTTACCATGTCTGAGCTCCACAGGGGGTCCAAACAACTCCCTCATTTTACAGAGAAGGCCATTATGGCAGGGACGTGAAGTGGCTTCTGTGAGTTCACCCAGTGCGGGGCTACGACTAAAATCCAGGTTTCCCACATCCCTGATTTCACAGCTACCACACAAATAGCAAATTATCATAATTAAACCATAAATAGTGCTTACTGTGTACCAGATGTTGTTCTGAGCATTTATTATATATATATATTTACTTTATGTATAAAAATATATATATCAACTCATTTAATCCCCAGAACAATTTACTGTTATGCTCATTTTGTGGATGAGGAAACAGAGGCACAGAGAAGTAAAGTAAGTTTCCCAAGACCACTCAGCTAACATTAGATAATCTTTGAACTAAAAGAAGTTCATAGCTTGTCTTAACTGATCATCTTTTCTGAATCCGTTGCCATTTGGTTTATGGTCTTTAATCCTTTACAGTAACCTTGGAACGATAATACTATTCTTACCATTCATAGGTAATTGCCATTCACAGGCTTAGAGAGATTAAGTGACTTGACTGGACACCTAGAAAGTGACAAAGATGGATTTGAATTTTCAAATATACCATATTGCCTCTTAATGGAAGTAGAAATTCAGAATCGAGGTCTTCTTAATTTGCTCTGTGTAAAAAAACCCATTCTGTGATTGAAACTATAAACTATTAAGATTCCCTGAAGCTCAATGAACGCACCAAGCAACAGAGAGAAAATGTTCACTGTACCCATGCAAGAGGCTGCACAGACAGCAGTGTGTGCATGCTCTCTGGGGTCTTTAGCTCTGTCTGTGAATTGCATAGATAGGTGTGTCTGGAGAGTTTGCATTGCTCCACCCTGTTCTTATTTTATATTTGCATGGAACCCATTATAAGAAAGGTATGCCAACTTACTGTTCATTAGCCTTTTGTGATGGTCAGTTTTATGTGTCAACTTGGCTAGGCTACAGTACTGTTATTTTTTTTTTTTTAAAGATTTTATTTATTTATTTGAGATAGAGAGTGAGAGAGAGAGAGAGAGCACGAGAGGGGGGAGCG